TCACGGAATCGACTTGGGACCATCTGCTCCGCTGTCCAGCGTGATACCAACTGAGCTACCGGAGCGCCTAAAGGCCTCAGTCTCACAAGACGAACCTTATGTTTGAACAATACATTAACATTCATTTGTGTTCAAATGCCAACCCCCTACAACAACAACAACATAAAATCCTTACAAAAGGATGCTCAGAGGTATAAAGATCAGAGAAACACAAACTAAAGAGTAGTAATAGGAAGAGCCATACCATTTCTGTAGCCATCAAAATCTTTACAGCAGAGATGTGTCTTTCCTTTTCCAATATTTGACAGTGACGTTTTCAACTGTTGTAAATGTTAACTACAGTTGAACCTTGGTATACCACCAGGTTTTGTGAATGTATGAAAAAGAACGTCTCTATATAAACATGGGTGTTCCAAAAGACCTGCGGCCAAATAAGTGTCCATCTCCAGTTGGATGTTGAGGCGAGGCGAGGCATACGCAGTCTTTGCTTTATATTCAAACTTTCAACGTGTTTGTACACCACGCCCTTCCTTCCCGTCAACCACATCCCTTTATTGCTAAATAGCAACATGAAATAACACCATTAAAAACATGAGTTACAACGGCAGAAAAACTGTAAAAAAACGAGCAAGTAGAAAGTCACTTCTTTTTATTTCTCAGTTCTGTCATCTCCATTCACATTTGGGTCCAGTATTGTTGATAAACAAAAGATAAAAACGAGAAAGAAAGATAAAAGTATCAATAAGAATAAGACAGCACAGGGCATTGTTCCCTTGAATCAAACAGGACATCTGGGACAGGGGGCAGACACTCCTCTCATCCCATCCTCTCACTGCGTTACTAACACAACACTCAGCCAACAAATTTTTCATACATCAAGAGGAAACAAAGACATTAAAAAATCCAGCACTACAAAAAAATAACAACAACTAAACAAAAGGGATACAGAACAGTGCATGCAACTTACAGCCTCTCCATATCAAAGTTATTACCCCTGGTTGAAGAAGGTTAAAAATATATTAAAAGACCAAAAAAAAGAGAGAGAGAGAGAGAGAGAGAGAGAGAGAGAGCAAACACGAAGCAAGCAACATGTAACAATAACAACCATATCAACATTGTCTTTGATTCCCTTGACTACATCAAGTGCAGCGAGAGGACAAGTGTGCGACAGAAACATCCACTTACAAAGTGACTAAGACACAACGCACGAAACCATGGCGATAGGCAACCATTGCACGACCTTGCCAGAGGTCACTGCCCACACTGGCAGCGCAAGAACAGAAAAAACACACACAGGGACGCCACAGCTCGTCTACTACAAAAAAAAAAAGCTATTTGCAAGGATATAACAAAATTCCTCAACTGCATAAATAATATTATGGATCAATTCGATGAACAGACACAGCTAGGAACATACACAAGGAAGTGGGAGACTCTGTAAGACAAATACCTTTCCTACAGGGTACAAAATGGTCAGCAGACAACCCATGCCAATGTTCAGTCGCACGAGAAGAACTGTGCTTTCAACTAGTCTAACTTTCTTTTTTTTAAAATACAAAGAGAAAAAAAAAATCTACCCAGTATCAATAAAGAAAGCATCTTCACAAAAATCTACACTTTGAAACCTTACTCACATCAAAGGCGTTTAACTATTGAGGCAGGATGGGGAGTGGGAAAGGTAGTATTTATCTTTTGCCAGAAAAATTTGAAAGGAGAAAGCACCTTTTAAAAAATGTAGCAAAAATCTTAAAAATAATACGTCAAATTTAGTACAGGAACAGGGTGGAAAAGAAATCTGTTTCAGCCAAGGTCCCGATGTTACTGAGCTGCTGGGAATACTGTCACCCGTCTCTCCTGTATGAGCAAACAAAGCACCACGGCGGTCGTCTGTTGTCACAGTCGCGTGAGCTACATGAGCACGGCAGAAACAGCCGAGGCCTCTCCGGAGTCCACAAACACAGACAGCACAAGACACAGAGCTACACGCCGGTCCTCAGCCTCCCTAGGCCGACTGTGACGAGATGTAGCGGTAGGCAAATGCAGCAGCCAAAGCCACGCCCACTGGGAGGAGCCAGCCCGTCCATGATGAGCTGTGGAGGAGACATTGGCAGCACTTGTTTATGTTTAGGTATAGTTTGTTTCTTTGAGTAAAGAGAAGCACAACGACACAAAAATGGTCAAAATAGGAAAAAGTAAGACGTTTAGTTTTATTAAGAGTATTACGGCACTTACAACACAATAGGTCATATAACTGCAAAAGATTAGAGGTGTTACAAGAGAGCACAAACATAGAAAAGGAAAAAAGATGAGGACGATAGATTCTATATATATAGGAAAGAAGGAGCAAACCACACCAGAGCACCCACCAACCACCCACTTTTTACATTTAGGTACCGACAAGTACACAAGTTTATGTTTAGTTAGGTATATAAGAAAAGAAGTAGGACCAGTGGCGCTATCCAGCCACCCACTGTAGGACTGACATTGTGTTCCACACATATCACGTTTAGTAGTTTCAGACTACAGGGCCTACCTAGATAGGACAGCCAAGTGAGGAAAGTAACCTGAACTATACTCAGGGATGCCACTGGGATTTTGTAAATTTACATAGCCGCATCAAAAAGTTAACAGACACAACTTAGAATGATGTCTCTTTTTCCAATGACTATAACGGAAAAACGGCAACCATGTAAACAGGTTTTTTACGCAATAATATGAACTCAGAAGTGATCCCCACCTCAAACGGGAAATAAATCTGGACACTCCCACCCTTCCAAGGACAGAACCTACACCCTCTGTCTTTGAATGTCAAAACAGGCAGCAGCCACCCATCGAGCCACAAAAATGGGCTCAATGTAAGAGAATTTACAACTTAAGCCAAGAGCTATTTAAATAAATTACATGAGTTCCCCGGCTAAGAAACAACACGTCAACACCCCCATTAATTTTGAAAAATCATATTCCTTCATGTAACATTCCAATAGGGGTTTGAACTTTACTCGTATTCTTTTACAATGAACAATTATGCATGTTATCAGAACATCTGGTAATGAATCAGTCTCTACTACCAGTAGCATTGTGAGTCCTGGCAGACATTTTTCTGTCCACATTTGAATATAAGTGTTAACTCTTAGCACATGGCACGCCAGTGTAAACAAAGCATATGTCTGTTGCTTGGATCACTCACTTTTCAATTTGATGTTTGAGCTTGTTTATTTAGTACTGGCAAAAAGTAAGACAGATAGACAGACAGGAACAACAGAGGGAACGTAAAGAAAAGAAATAGGACCTACCAGTGGCACCCTCCAACCACCCACTCTCACTCCGTTTGGTGTTTATTTAAGGAATTATTGAGCAGGGAAGTTTGTAATGTTAAAAACTTTAATGGCAAAATTGGCTGCCCAAAGGAGGAACAGCCTTCTGTACACTGATTGTTACGGCCAAGAAAACAAGGACAGAGACAGAGCTACTACCGTACACCACCTCAATAGACAAAGACAGAGCTACTACTGTACACCACCTCAATAGACAGAGACAGAGCTACTACTGTACACCACCTCAATAGACAGAGACAGAGCTACTACTGTACACCACCTCAATAGACAGAGACAGAGCT